TTTTTTTATCCATCCTTGGCTATACTTCCGATTTCTCATGTGACTTCTATCCATCCGGAAGACTTAGACTAACATTTTACATAGTTCAGCACACTATCCACACACCCCCCATTTTGCTGATCCCTTCAGAGCAGAATCAGTTTATCACTATGTAATATATTTATATGATCCTTTCAATTTTTCTAACTTCTGTTTATTTTCTTAGCTTTCAATTAGAATGGCAGTGAACATCTATATATTTTATTTTTATTGTTCTGGCACATGTGGAGTGGCACAAAATTTAGTTCCCAGTAGAGAGTCATGGTTTATTGATGGAATAGTGATTTATAAAATGTATTATAAGAAAAATATTCCTGTTGATCTATGGAGATGTTGAAGAGATGAAGTCATTGCTGACTTGTTTTCATGCTGTGTATGTTATAAAACTGGGTTCATGAACTCAGAGATCTGCCCTTTTCATCATTCTATCTCAGTATCCTAAAGTCTCAGAAATGAGGCATATGGCATGACATAATTGATGAATGAGTGAATAAATGGATGGTTTCATAAGAATTGTTTCTACCTTTGATGCACAATAATTTTCCTTATGTTACAAGGTCTATTACCCAGTTTTGTCAGAAGCTGTCACTCTAGATGGCCAGAACACCTTCAGAACTAGTTTCCTATAAGTTTTTTATATGGAATGTTGATTATTTATATTAATTTAAAATTTATATTCATTAAGTTGTTCTTGGTTCCATTATAAGACACTATAGGTATGTCCATGAAGATGGCCGTCATCATACATTTGAGGAGAGACGGCTCAAGGAACAGATATGCAGCTGTCCTACGTGCAAGCATTCAAGAACATCTGGATACTCTTGAAGTATAAAGATAACTGTTTCTTAACAGAATGATAATTTCCTTCTAGGGAAGGATAGTTTGTGCATCATGGAAATAAATCAACACCTGTTTTTAGTAATTAATCAGTTTTTTTTCTAAATAAAACACTAGCTATACAAATTTGTCTAAAATGACATTCTAAAATATCCCATTATGCTTAACTTGGATATCACTATATATTTCCTGTGTGTGTGCATATGGTTCTGCATGTGTGTGTGTGTTTGTGTGTGTGTGTATTTGTACATACACATGTGTGCCTACATGTGTGGAGTCTATAGGTCAACTTTGCCTGCCTTTTCTCAGGTGCTGTCCACCTTATCCTTTTGAGACAGGGCTTCTCACTGGTCTGGACTCACCAACTTCTCTAGAATGGTTGGCCGGGAAGCCCCAGGCTTCTATCTCTCTGCCTCCCCAGTGTTGAGATTGAAAGCATGCTACTGCATCCAACATTGATTTTTGTTGTTGTTATTGTTGTTGTTGTTGTTTTTGTTGTTGCTGCATCTGAGTTCTGAGGTTTGAATTCAGAACCACATACTTGGAGGAAAGCACTTTAGTGACTGAACTGGCTCTATAACACAACTGTGGGGTTTTGTCTTTTTTTATTTTTAATGTTGAAATGGATGCCTCCCAGAGGGCACGCTAATGAATGAGGTCTGTAGAAACTGTTTTGTTCACTTAAACCCTGGGATTTGGAAGCGTTCTATTCAGAGTAAGAATCCAAGCATTACTTTAGTAAATTTACACAGTCCTTTGGCTTCTGAGCACTGGTCAGAGTACCAGAAGAAACCATAGGGCTGGAAGTAGACAAGGGTCTGCCTGCTTCCCTAAGGAGCTACAGCTCAAACTTTAAAACTTTAGAACACAGTGGTTGTGATTATGCAAAGTGTTCAGACTTGTGACCATGGAACCTGTTACTTTCTGAATCTGCTCATCAGTGGCCTGGTCTGTGTATCTTCTG